AATAGCATTAATAAGGAATTATTCAGCATTTTTTGTACTGCATTAAATAAGCATATGATCATCTTGATTATTCTTCTCTTATTCCACCTCATGAGGCTCATTTGCTAGCGGTATGACAGCGAATTCTACCAAACCTCTCAGCCATAGATGACAGACAAGTATAAACATGAAATTGACAGAGCGTACAGGTGATGAATGGAATCGGTCAGTATTTGTCTGCTTCAATTCTTGCATAGATGTGAACAAATTGATTTTCGATGCCCTGATATCTCGAAATGCACTGCGCGAACGAGTTGTACAGCGGGTGTTTCTGGTCTTTGAGAATCGAGCAACCAAGAGTCACGAATTGATTCGCCCTGCCTATCCGCTACGGATCTTCCCGGTGGGCACTGCTGGCGACTTTTGCTTCTCGATTTGATGAAACTCCTAGGCTCAGCTTTAAGGAGGCTAGCGAAAATCACATTGATAAAAATGGGAATTATGCAGGTATCGATGAAATGATTACATAACCTGCTGACCTCACTCTCGATCCATTTCTCACGAGCGTTTTTCAAGGAGGAAGTTCGCGGAGTTTCAACGGTTTTTCATATTATCCTCAGGGGTTGGTAGGTCTGAAATCGGAAGGCAAACTTTTGGTCCATGCTACTGGTTAAATATTTTATGATTGTCAAGATCGATCTAATTCGCGCAGAGTTCGTATCCTTTGTCACGGATAACACTGTTGCAGAACCGGAAGGTTAATGCCCCATTGATGCATATGTACGGCGATACTTATGTCTTTCTTCGGTGATGCCGCTGCATTATGGCCATCAGGAGGGTGCTTTCCTTGTTGTTTTTCGTTCGGCTTAATCGTGTATTAATAAAACAGTATTTTATGATGTTTTTCATTACATAACACGAACTAAATACTCTGCCGTAAAACGCGACGCACTGGCTGAAAGTTTATGCACACTCCTTGGTTGCTTGAACCATCCAGGATAAGTCAGTGTGGCCCTACATAAGGTCGGGTGGCATTTTTGCGACTGAGTATTAATGAAGTTTCGGTTGAAACGACGCTTTCATAGGCATTGAAACCAAGCGTCAAATTTAGTGTTGCTTTGTCACTATAGCAAAAAGCTAATATAACTTAAACAGCAAAGTAACCCAGATTCATGTTTACGTCTACGTGCTAGAAAAGTCTTCAGATTGATATTGGACAACATCCTCTGCTGCTAATTTTGCGAATTCAATAGGATGCATGAGTGATGCGTTACTTGCATTATGTGCATACTTCACACTTGTGATGGACTGTTTAAACTTGATGATAATTTCTTCCACAGCACGACGTGTTTGGAATCGAACATCAGGATATTCTGCTTGGAACAACAGCAGGATAAGCACAAATGATGAAAAGAATTAGACAGAATTTGTGAGATGGCAAGGAAGCCGTTGCCTTTTCTCCTTATCCAACAGTGCCGTTGCGATGTGGTAGAAGGAACCACTAATTCGATTACTGTCTCAGAATATACTTCCTTGATAATCGATAACATTTTAATACCGCCAAACGATGTAAAAGTTGTTGGTAAAAATGACATCATTTGAAATTCAGATTGAAAATTTTTGAGCGAGGTTCACGATGTTTGAAGAGTGCAACCGAAACAAAAAAATAAATCTGTTGGTGCAACTGAATATCGTTCAAAAAGTGGCTATCATCTGACACAGAAGGGCTTGTTGAATCGCGTAAGGATTATACAAGACATGTTAAAATGATATCTTCGCATTGTTCCACTGATTAAAACTCAAATCACTGTAAAATGGTTTCGAACGATTATAGTCTGGCAAACCGCAACAATTAAGAATTGTATTACCTTTTCCAATTTACAGTATCACCTGTACTGACAAGAAGGCATAACACACTGATTAACTTCACGTTCTAAATTATACTGATGTCTGTGATATCTCATCTGCCAACATCCCACTCAATATTGAGCTCCTCTATGTCGGACCACGAGACCTAACTGTCATGGTCATCTAACTGTAGAAGTCATCTGAGAAAAATCTGCCACTGTTGCTCTATGGGATAACTACAGACATCAGCGTTGTTTTATAAGCTCCATGAAAAAATTCGCTACAAATAGCACATGTCAGAAAATGTATCGAAAACAGATATATAATGGGAAAAAAATATTTTCTCACACTGGTGGATATCCGACCTTGCATAAACTATGGGTAGCAAGCCATAGATTGAGGTAAACGACAGTACCTTGGTACAATAACTGTTACTCAGCATCAGTTACACTGTTATCCACTTTATTTATGCATACTATTATTTTAGGTGAATCAGACAAAAGCGATAAGAGAACGAAAAAGCTTTGCCTTTCCAGGATCAACACCAGTCTGCTGTCCGTTATGTTCCTGAAGCGCGTTGGCATTAACCTGAACCTTCCCGGAGTTGACACCGGATTTGCGTTTGGGCCGCAGTGGGGATTCGATTCAAAGGTTCGCGGACCGTGGTTTCTACGTGATTGCTAAGGCCAGCTGAATCTCAGCCGATACGTAAAATTTCAATGAGCATCAATTAACAATATGAACGTTTTGTAAAAAGTTATTATTTGAACGGGAAATCAGAAGTTCGAAATTTACAAAAAGAGGGTTTCATGATTAATACGCTTCAATCCAAAAAAAGAAATTCTTTCTTAAATATTTAAAGGAATGGTACAGTCAAATGTAACATTAAAATACGAATTGGCATTCAAGTTAATTGATTATTTAAAATGGATATTCAGTTTTAATGAAGGATAATTGTTGCTGCAGCCAATGAACGGTGAAGGTAAATTATTCTAATTGCATTATATCTGGGCTTGTTAAAATGGCCGCTATTCGTTTAGGAGAAACGATTGTGCAAAAAGGTGCAAGCCACGGAGTTAAACGAATTAGCATGCATATGGCATTTTAACCTAAACTTTTTATGTTTTATGAAAAGCTTAGCGATAATATAAACTTTCAACATTCCAATGAAACTCATTAAGGCCTTGCCAAAAGAAAACAACGATTTAAAACGCATCAGCGGTCTCACTTGATTATGTTTTAGATACCATGTTTCGATTGTCTGAGTAACTGGAGATTTGTTTGTTTTTGGTTTTGCGAGACCAAGAGATTCGTTTACCCCGGAAGCAGTGAAGGCACCTATTTAAATTCCCCATCTGCTAGTACCATCACCACTTGCTTCGTCACCCGTCGAAATCAATGAATCATGAAGACGACACGTAGACATTGTTGCTGGAAGAAGTCGATACATCTCATCCATTTTCTGTAAGACCGCCATTTCTGTGTCCTATAGGAAAATGAGTGATAGTGATAAACGACACTATCACCTGTCAAGGACGGTTTGATGATACTAGATCTTTAGATCAGATGTAACCGGCACAAAAATAATTCAATTCGCCCCCCCCCCATGTTACAGTGAGCGTTTTTTGTAACTGTATATTCCAAGCACTTGTTGCGGTCAGTTTCTACCATTATTTCAGTATTAATAAAGATCAATTTACTTTGTTACTTTTAAGTCGCTACTCACTTGCACGCAACACTTTAGACCCAAAAAATTACTGGCTTTCAAAGCGAATAACCGGATGCAAACAAGGTTAATTTGTTAATTCAATTCTGCGCTTTTCAACCCCTTTAATCAGCACATATCAGGATTTATTTTGTTCATCCACATCACCTGCAGGCCTCTTCATGGATGTCTGCTGCGCTTTGGCTCGCACATTCAAACTGATTGATTGCATGTTCCACAATTTTTGCGCCTCTCTCAACATTCAGGAAAACAACTTGATTCAAGTACGACGCAACTGTACGTCTACAGTTTTGAAAGTAGGTCAGAGGCTCAACAAAGATAGATATAAGCAATAACAAGAAGTCATGAGACAACACATATTAAGTCCTTGCAGTTTCAATGCCACATTCGAAAGTAGAATTTTCCATGGCACTCAGTGCTCTGGAAGATTCGAGATTGGACAGACATGACTTCAGCGGCGGTAAATATCGCCTTTGCCAAACAGCTTTCAAATTATAGTTGCTCATCAAAAGAAATTATTCTGGGTCACGATTCCCGTGAAAACGGGTCCTGCGCTTCAGCAGTAGCCAGGAAAGCTTTTTCCGCAACCTCTTTGCAGCATGGCTAAAAAATTCAAATAATCACTGATCGATCACCGAAGAAGTTCCATACCAATATAAGAATCTTTCGAAGCAGATTTCTTTGCCCAATCGAGTTCAACATTTCATCGGAGTAAGACGAAGACGATAATATCAAACGAGGTATATCAATATGACCTACTGCCAAAGGAAGCAGAGCCAACGAAACCGTAAATGTTACTTCAGGTAACAAACGGATGTTATCCTAAAATAAGTAGCTTTTATAATGCAACTATTCATACAAATAATTAAAGCAACGAAAATTTGAAGCATTAAAGTAAATTATAAACTTCGAAAGACCGATAACATAAATAAACGGTCTTGAGAGAGAAAGAGAGTATGGGTACGCTATTTCTAATAAGCTACAATGGAGGGCAAAACATATTCAGTCTAATATTTGGCAAAGCATATCAAGCATTAGGTCAACAGCCGTCTCATCAACGTATCCACAGACATCGAACCATAACTGACAAAAACACAACAACAGATACAAATAAAGTGAGACCACACGATTTGAACAAATCCTTCTCGGATGCTTTTCAAGATTCGGTACACTTTGTTATCACAAAATGTCATATAGCGATGGATTAAGAGGTGCGAAAGAGATCTCTTGCTAGCACTTCAAATAGTATAAAAATAAGTTCATCGGGAGTTTGTACAATTATAAGCTATAGTGTCGTCATAACGTAGCAGGTCAGCACGCGGCTTGCTATAACAAAGGCTCCGTCCTTCAGGAACTGAAAAACTGCGTTATTAGGAGATGACGAGGCAACAAAGTTCATGCACTCTAAGACTTCAATCAGCGTATCGGTCACTATCTAAGCCGTAGACCACTAACCACACCCTAGTTCATCCACAGTCAACATTTTTGCAATTAACGGACCGGGCCACTTTGTACCGTTCCTGGAAAATTTTAGGCCGATCCGCGAGCACCTACCACACGTTCCACATATAGCGCTGTCATGTACTACAAATCCCATACATTGACCGTCAATTCTGTTCGACTGCCTAACCATGCAATCCATGAATCAGAAATAATAGCTTGGAGTCTATCACAGCAGAGCAGCGCAATCAATCAAACAGATATTATACCTGGTAGCACACAGTGCAACAATGACAAACCAGAGGTTGCAGTATTCAGCAAAGTTTGGACTGCTATAATGAAAGACTGCAGGGTAATACATTTTTCCTATTTCAGGTTACATTTTATGTTGACCTTTAGTCGACTATTGGATGGGTCAAGGTGGACTACAACCGCTAAGCTCAAGCATCAACTACATAGCTATTATCTCCAAAACTCACGCATGGAAAGATAATGATACCATGCCACCTGCATGAACAATATCAATTTAACATTCCTTTTACAGACTGTTGCATAGAAATACAGAACAGTAATCTGCTCAAAAGAATTAACATT